CACCGTTGTCATGTTTCTGGAGATAAAAAGTGCCTTCGATTCAGTCGATCGATGTGCCCTTTGGGATTGCCTGCTGAGGAAAGATGTGCCTGATAAATATGTATACATTATCAAAGCGCTGTACGAGCATACTTCGAGCAGAGTGAAGGTTTATGCTAATCTGTCACCACCGTCCAGTATCGCCAGCGGTGTGAGACAAGGTTGCCCGCTGTCACCTTTACTTTAATTTCGCCACTGACGAAGTCATGGAACAGCGCTCGCTGGACACGACCTAGAAGTTGTGGAGCTACTTCATGGGGAGCGACGTCTTGACTTGGAGTGTGCGGACGATATTGCTCTAATCCGTGACAGCTCCCAACGTGCCAAGCACTACTGGACCGATTAGCACTGGCTGTCAATCGTTTTGGCTATGCTTTGCTCCATCGAAATGCAAAGTACTTCTCCAGGATTGGCAAGGACCTACCCCTGCGTTGACGCCTGGTGGTGCTCAGCTAGAAGTCGTTCAGGAATTCAAGTACCTGGGCAGCTATATTAGCGCCCGAGGGATCGAAGATGAGGTTACGAACCGTATAGCAAAAGCATGAGGTGCGTTAGGGTTGTGAAAGCTGGCCCACCAGGTCGATAGACGTAAAGACGCTACTCACATTTGATCCTCGCTGCCTTCGAAGATTAGCTTATGTCTGGTGGGAGCACCGCGTGAGCAATGTGCGTGTTCGGCCTCGCCTATTTGGTGTAGGAAGAGCGAATGGACCACTCAGCACCAGGCTCCGATAGCAGGGCCACGTGTTGCGCATGCCAGCACACCGACTCCCGCGACGTGCATTGGTTGCGTGTCGGGGTGTGCTTGGGAGGGGAGGAGGGGATGCCAAGCGATAACTTGGTCCAGAGAAATGTAAACCCTCACTTCGAATTTGGCGTCGGCTGGTTCATCCCGACTGCCTGGCTAGGGTCCGATGAATGATGAGCACGTTTAGTTGGACACATTTGTTGATATGGCTAGGACCCGCCCCAATGACGTTTGTGTTGTGCGTTTCCTTGTCTATCCCCCTCCCTTTTAGCTTCTTCCCCCTTCAATTCCGTTCAGCATACGAAATGCGTAATATAGTATTTAAAGTCTTATTACTTGCCTTTGAAATTTTTGCAGTGTATTTTTTGTATCTTACCTTTTTTTCTTACGGCACGTTAGCTGAGGTGTGTTTTGCACCCTCAACTAACTTGTATTGATCATGATGACATCCATTTGACTCCCAAGCAGGTAGCTGTGACTGCAGGACGAAACTGATCAGGCAGTGAGCTAGACGAACACCCGTTTCACTGGGCCCACCTCGTCTACTTTTTATTTTTCTTTCTCCTTCGATCAATAAACCGTTCTCACCGTACAGCCATCTCGGTGAGTAGCGCGGTAGCTGGTCTGATCGAATCTCTGACGGTGTTTTCTTAATGTCAAGAAAAAAACACTTCCCTTGTAGCCTAGTTCGACCCGCTGGAGTAGCAATTTTCATTCCAAAGTTGCTCATGTCGAAGGAGCCAGAACTCAGAATTAAAAGACACGTTATGGCGAAAACAGACAAGGTAGTAGAGTAACCCGATGTTTACAAAATTCTCTACTGAATAGTTTTCCATTCAGTAGGGTACAAGTTGGGCGCTTTCTCTTGGATCCCTTATGGCTCGTCTACGTAGCCTCATCAACAGTGGCTCCGGTGCATCCGGAGCTAGGGGTTTTATCCACTGCATAAGGTCCACTTCACCAAAACCGGAATACTTACGCTTGTCCGGTAGCAGCAACTGGTCCATTTTTAGTTGGCTTAGGGTGGCCCACAAATAGTTGACCGCTGAATTAATTTTGGATGCGGACGCTCCATAGATGAATACCTCTCGACCACCATGAATCACGCCGGACAGCTTCATCATTTCTTTCACATCCGAATCGGCTGACGAAGGAACATAATCGCCTATCGTCACGCGCACATCAAAGCGGTTCTCTAGTGTTGTCAAGGTGTGCCGAACTGCAAATGATTTCGCGTCGTGCTGAAACTGCTCGTACATTTGTGCCGTTCTGGGCAGTTTGGCTAGAGAAGCCCAATCAGTGAACTGCTCCTGACTCAGTTTGTTCATATCTAGACCGTACAATTCCAAAAACATAACCCGTGTTAATGGACTTTCCGCAATATTCATGTTTATGCAATAGGTTATCGGTAGGATAAGTTTATTGATTGAATTCTCGATTGATTGGTTACTCCCTGATTCTCGGTCACCTGCTGCTTCGAGATCGGCTGGTTCCCAGTTAGGAGATAACTTTTCTGTAGCATGCTCACCATCTTGTCTATAGTAGGGTCGACTCGTAAATGCGACTGGCAGAACGCTCTTAGCCGATGTATCAGTAACACTTGTGAAACCGGCTAAGTTGTGCAAAATTGGTGGTATGACCCTGTGTGTTGATAACTGAAGTTCGTCTCCAAATGTGACGATTGCGCATTCTTGAGCAGTGATATCCCATCTGCGCCCTTTGCGCCCCTTCTTCCTGACAAACCGCTTGTGAGACCGGGTTGGTCTGATTAAGTGCGACACCGCAGTCCCCATTGTTGAGTACTGTCATCCTTACCCAAGTAAAACTCGTGACCTGATCGATACTTTAACTGGATCTGGTCGATTCCACTGGCCAATGGGACCGTTATAGTACAAATACAATTCCAGCGGACTGGCACTTGTAACTTCAGCCACAACAAACAAAATTTCACTCGCAGAATTTGTTACCAGGTTCTGGGCACAGAATACGAAGACGCCACCGGTAACATTTGTAGTTCCGATGTCTTGAACGGCAAAATATCACTTATATACTCCCTAAGTACGGCAATTCAAAGTTCAGCAAACTTGAACATAAAACTTTCGTTGAACATTGCAAATTACCCACCCGGGTCATCACTGGATCGTTTTACATCGAGGTCCTTCCTCCCGTAATACACTAGGTCTTGGGGTCACTTGAATGCAGCTTGGGAAAGACCAAAACGATTCTGCTGGCAATTCCCGCAGATAGGGTCCCACGTACCCGTCATTTGTGGTTTCTTTACTCTAAGACAATGTCGCGACTCGACTCCAATAGGATTAAACCTTGTTTCGAGTAATTGAATGAGACGAATATGTCGCTTATATGGTGTTGCTGCGGTTTCGCTACATTGTGTGACCGGCCTAATATCTATCTTTGTCTCGGAAGGACCTGAGAATGTTAGACAAAACCCAGAGCAAATCAAAGGTAAATCAAAACTATCAGTATTGGACCTGGGGTTTTCGCTTGTTGGTATCGACGGCATCTGTGCGCGGAAACACCTACCGTCGCTCTTCATCCGATGGTAATCTAAGGTGACGCCAGAATTAGGCGATACATCACGATCCGCATGATCGCATTGACAATGTTCGCCGGTTGTTGTAGGACAGCAGAATGCACATGCTTTTGAGACCTACCTGTGTGAAATCGTGAGCCACTAAAGTCTACGCAGCAAGAATTCTTGGTGGGAATCTTCTGGAGACCAGCTCCCCGGTCGGTAGGGCCTAATAACGATAGTCTTGTTAATTCTCAGCATCCACCCGCGGACTCGCTTCTTTCGCTTCTGAAAAGATTGTCAAAGGAATCTGAAGCAGTTGCCCGGTTTAATTCGGTGGTCTATATGTGTGAAACGTGAGGCCACAGATGAAATGGCTGCTTTTAGACACTCAATTCCTAGACACATCGGCTGGTGTTCGCACACGCTGTCGGTCTGGATTCTCATCGTATGACCAGTGTAACCTGCATCACATGAAAGAAAGAATGATTTGGTGCGTACTGAATTATTGTGCGTAAGCGTTTTCTTGTTATCACCTTACCATTTGGTTACTGGTGAGCTGGACCTGTAGTATGGTCGCTAGTGGACCGCTTAGTATTGTGTGCGAAAGACGAGACAGCTGAACTTCGCTGCAATTTCGAGCATATGAACAGTATTTTATTCCCATCCTGAGCTAACAAATGAGGAGCATTTTTTCGGAAAGTGTGCTTTTATAACAGAAATTTTAGCCTACCTCAGGTAGGCAAGAAGCAAACTCCGTTTTCCCAAAGATGACACAATGATGTGGAAATTAATATGCTAGTTGTTCCGCATGTATTTCACACACTTGGACATTGTGATACAGCCACAACGTCACTTCGTAATTACTTTGAGAAAGTGAAAGCAGTCCTTTCCCCCACGCTGAAAATGAATGTTGTAACTTGCGATTCGATTCATTGTGGTGTCAGGCTCTCACACATTTCGAGCATACTGGAGAAGTATCAGCTCGTTGGTGCAATAGTAGTCCAAGCTGATGTATGTAATGACTGGTTTTAGTTTACCATTTGCTAGCATGTGAATGAGACAACCGCGATGGACGTTGTGGCATGCGTCTCGTTGTACTTCGGCTGCCGATTTACTTGTTGTTTGATAAGGAAAAATATTTTAACTATGCCACTAACCAAATGCTACTTCAGTGCTGTTGGTGAAGTGCTATGATATAAATCCAGATTCTATCGACGTGGTCACCTGCGTGAGTTATATTGTCAAATATTCACGCCGTTGTGAAGTGAAGTAACTAAGAGGTGTTAAAGGGATTCCCAGTGGACTTATATATTTTTTTAAAATTCTTAGTTATTAGTTTTCCCTTCGTTACGGTTCGATTATTGACATTCGTTTAAAAGTATCATCACGTCGTTCTTTATGGATGTCGTCTCGGGTTCCCAGTTCCGATAATACCATTTGCTCGGACACTCGTGATTGGTTCCTACTTTTACCCCTTCTCACTCGTCTATGTTATTTAGTGTCTTCCATGTTGCTGGTTGGCTCCGAGGTGTCTTAGTAGCTTGTATACGACGATTACAGTTCCCTATTCAAGTGTGGCAGATTTCTCACGTATGCAAGTCTATCACGACTGATCTTCCGTGTTCTCGTTACGGTCGTAAGGTGCGAACAGTCGGCGGCGACACAATAGGGAATATTGTTTAATTCATTGACAATTAGATCGCTTACGACATCCAGAAAGTCAAACCTGTCCTTTGGATTGCACGCAATGATCTGTGTTCCATTGGATGAAGTGATCGGCACCAGCTACCAAGCAGTCGACTAGTACCTAAAGCAAACCGTACAGGAACATCAGTGAGACCGTAAAGCCTTAGTGTAGCAAGGAATAGGGGGCTTGAATGCACATGGACGTTTTAGTTTCTTCAGCCACGGCCCTAGTCTATTGCACACTCAGTTTGCTTAGTATTGTCATTTTCACCGAAATCCTACAATAACCTCATCTTAGTTACCCATATTTTGCCTATTTACTTATGATAATGTAGTCTATGAAGAACTACTAGGGTAGGTTTAACTATATAACTAAAACTTCATCACATCTAGGCTCAAGAGATATACATCACACGTCTGGAAAAGTGCCGTGCGGCCGTTTCATCCTTTCGATAATCGTCCTCAGAGAGCATTCAATCTAGCCTTTAGTTGATTAGAACCCACAATCCTACTGTTATCAATCGGTAGTGAGGACCACTGGGTTACAAAGGTGATAACGAGCTATTTCGAGTATGTGATGACAGTCTGCCTAGCTGTGATGCATTTCTACTCGAGCCATTCAACTCCCCCTACTACTCCCTTGTAATATATATATATATATATATATATATATATATATAAAACCTTGCCTAATGAATATTTGTCAGAGGACCACAACACATGAGTAACTTCAATAAAACGGAGGAAGAGAGAGTCAGCGGAATGGATGCAAAGTTCCATGTGCTGTGTGGGCAGTGCGTGAGCTTCCCGGTTGTCCAGGCCGAGGAAGAAGGTTGACTTAAGGGACCCCACCCCGAGCCTTTGCTCTTAAAGACGTGATCCGAAAGGCAGGAGACGAATAGGAAGATCGTTATCAGCCAACTGGTTCGTTCTCCTTCTTAATGTTTGGTTGTAGTCCACAGAGAAGCCGGTGGCCAACAAGGCTATTCATCCGCCCTGCGTTAGATACTCACCTCCAGTTCCAGAAGTGAACAATGAACAATGGATTTGAACAATGGATTTATACGGGTTACGAAGCGTTGCATTACAAGTCCTACTGCATAGTTGGTGGGGATATCGAGATAACACTAACGATAATAAGAATAAGAATAAAACAGTTAGTAATTTAAATATAAAAAATAAGGACGTCGTTTGCTATGCTGTAGTCCTACAATCCGCTTAGATTCACAGCACTCACAGTTAACATAAATAATTCCATGGTAAACTCTAGGCATAGAATGGATACGTAACGCTAAGTCACAATGTGTAAGTGTATGAGTGCGTCATCCAACCGCCTTTTAAATACTGCCAGTGTCGGTGCAGAGACACACGATTCCGGGAGAGCCTTCCACGAGTGACAGACACGAATGGAAAAGAAATTTCTGCGGCATTGCAGAAGTCCATAATGTTCTGCAAGTTTCAATGAGTGGCCCCTCTTGGCTGTGTTGGTGTTGAGTTGCAGTAAAGGGCGGCACATATGATGTGGGTCTCGCAGAATCAAGTATGCCAACATCAGGATGCCTCGTTGTCTGCGATAATTTCTACTAAATACTCCCAATCGTGCTGTTTATCCTGGTATGAAAGATTGCGCATTCCAATTACGATTTTAGATGCCGGACGTTGTGACCCCTCCAGTGCATTAAGGTCGTGCTTCAGCAATGGATGCCAGACTTACATTGCGTAGTCGACATTGGGGCGAACATACGCACTAGGCATTTGTCGAAATATGGGGCTGTTTATTTGTCCAAACGCCCGTCGCAACAGCCCGACGTGTTGGTTTCCAGATTTCGATGCCTTTTCGGATTGTCTGGAACAACCTAAGTCATTTTGAACCAGCACACCCAAGTCACCTTCGACAGTTGATTGTTGCAGAATATTCGTTCCGAGCCAATATGAGTATACGCTCTGATGTCAGATGGAAAGCACCTTGCCTTTACTCACGCTGAAGTGCAGTAAACTTTGGGTTGACCATTGACATACAGTATCTAGGTCACTCTGAAGCAGATGCTGGTCGGCGTTCGCCTGGATCCTGCGCCAAATCTTGATATCGTCAGCAAACATTAGGAAGTTTGAAGCGATTCCCTGTGCAAGGTCATTAATAAACACCAAAAACAAAGGTGGACCTAGAACTGAGCCTTGCGGCACACCACACTCGACTTGTATGGAGTCCGATAAAGAGCTCCGAACTCTGCGCACTACTTGTCGTTGAATTAGTAAGTTGCGAATCCAGCTTAGAAGAGGGGTGCCGATTCCGTGCTACTGAAGTGTAGTGTCCGATGGTCTAGACGAGCGAAAGACTTCGAAAAATCCATGTAGATCACATCAACCTCTTTTCCAGCGCCAGCTGCCTCGGTCAAACTACTGAGTTCGATTAGTAAATTCGTTGTGCGTGAACACTGTCGACGTAAACCGTGCTGCTCATGCATGATTTTGTTACAACTTTCCAGATAGCACATCAGTACATCGGCAAAAATGGATTCCATGACCTTAGAGAGTATAGGAAGAAGGGATACTGGGCGGTAGTTGAAGGGATCA